TGTGTGTGTGTGTGTGTGTGTGTGTGTGTGTACATTGATATTGCCGCGACACGGCGGCACGTGCTATAAGCACAGGTGCCGGCGTGCGTGCATGCGTGAGCTCGTAAAGGCACAAAAAGTCGTAGACGCGCGCGAGCGAGCGAGCGGCAGACGCGAGATGGAAAAAAAAGCAAACCGGCAATAATAATCAAAGAAGTGACCCGAGCGAGCAGCCCGGTAGAGCGCCACTTTGTCGGACCTGTCTTTCGAGTTTCGTCTCGTGCCACATACAGACAGGTCCGTCGCTCATGACGTACGCACACGCGTTTCGCAACGATACGCCCGATTTCCGGTTTGAGAAATGCCTGATTCCGGTTCCGAAGCTGGCTTTAACCGCGCGAGCCCGACCCGCAGCCTCGGTACCGCAAGCCGCCACGCCGTCCCGACGCCGTAGGTCGCTCGACGAACACTGCTTTCGTGTGCGCGTATTCGCGTACTTACGTACAAATGGCCACGCATGTCGTGACCCTGCGGTAACCTCGGCGACCCGCGAGTTCACGTGTCGGGCCGCCGCCACCGCCGCCGGGGTGAAAGCCTTGTCGTCGATAATGCCGCACCGTAAGCGCGTAATTGCCTCTTGCACTCGTACTTGCGCACGGTACTTGCGCGGGTTGCGCGGTCACCGCGTACGATGGACGGCGGAGACGCGAAGTAATAAAAAAAAAAAAAAAAACACGATGGAATGCAGTAGACTGTATAACTCGATGTGCGGTGATAATTTACTCGTTTGCAGCGCGAACGATTCACAAGAAGCGCGAATTTGTGCGCGGCGTGTATCGATCCTCCGAAAGGAGACTCTAGAGGTTTCTTCTTAGAGCATGTCAGAAAACATGTGTGCGACGCGAACAAACCTTAGATGTGTCAGAGTAGCGCAAAGGTTCTTTGCCTTAATATCACTGTATCAAATTCAAGAATTAATAAAGTACATATTGGACGATAGATACAATACTAGACTATCAGGTAAAAGGTAGCGGTCGAAGACAATAAGAAAATTGTCGGCATTCGGCTCAGATAAAAGGTTTGCGTTTACTCTGGTAGATTTAAAGCTCTAAGGAAGTGGGAGACAACACGCTGCAGATACCGCTACTGTAATTAACAAGATTTTCCCCACGCATGGAAAAAGAATGCAGCTCTTTGATCTTCTTTGGTCTCCTCCGCCTGGTCGCCGAAGACTGGCGTTTCCTGGGAGGTGCAGAAGTGAAACGATAAAAACAATATCTTACGCACGTCAACATCGTCGGAATTTTATAAATGCGTTTCTCTCCCTTCTGTCGTGTTTATATTTCACTCAGGATTCCTACGAATATCTCACGTGATTGGTCGATGTCGGTCACTGCGATTGATTCTTTTGCAACAATTATGAGGCAAAAAGCGACGTATCAAAATTCTTCAAAGTTTCATATCGAGTGATATTTGTGGATTTTTTTGCTCCTTTTGCCATATTTCTATTTTCCAATTGCCACGCGCAAAAAAAGGACTTAAATATCAGTTGCTGATATTTAAACTATGATTCAAACTTTGCTATTATTGTTACAAGTTGGCTATTGAAGATAAAATACATTTGTTGCCGATATCTAACTTTATTAGTTGAAATTAAAAGCATACTTAATACGAGTAGCTAAGTGGCAGCTATTATATTCCTCACTATCTTAGCCACGTAACCGAGCATTCCATTCGCAATTATTTCTTGGATTTAATTTTAGAAAAACGCTCAGTTATCATTTTATTCCAGCAGAGAATATTTTTCGCACCTAAACTTTAGCAGCTAATAAATTGAGCTTTGGCAGCAACATTAGCAACAACATTAGTTGTCCTTATTATAAGGACGGATTTTAGCTGCTATATTTTAGCTGCGTTGGTTAATCTTTTTTCTGCATGCAGAAAAAAAGAACACTTTTTTTTTTTTTTTGAAGTTAAAAAGATAGTCACTTGGTAGTTCTCTAACTACATCTATATATATTGTATGTAAAACCGCAAGTCATTACACAGCGATATAACAACACCAATAACAATGGCAATAACGGGGAAAAAACTTGACGAGTATATATTGTCATAAGTCATAAATTACAAATTGCACAGGTGCACATCAAAGTTAACAATTTTCTGGTTAGAAGTTTTTATAGCCATGATAACATATCTCCAGTTGTTTACCGAGACATTGTCTTATCAAAAAGTAACACATTGATTTATCACGCTTCTGACCTAATATATGTACTTCGACTTACGAATGTCTGCTTGATATATTATATTTTGAACAATGTATCTATCGACATTATCGATTTTTTCCGCATGAATTGGATAAAAAAAAAACTGGTGGTATACGCATAACTCTACGAAATAAGTGATCTAAAACAAATACCGAATACTCTTTTTTTCTTCGTTTTACATTAAACTTCTCTTGCATTTTCTCGTATGTTTTTTTCTCGTCTGATGACTAACATTCAGTACTTGCGTATATCTCTTCGACAACTATGAAGAAACAAAAAAAATACTCCGTTTACATGTACATTGTTTAATGTTACTACGACGAAAGACTGTTCGGTTTATTCCAAGAAAACTACGGAATGCGGGATCCCGAAGGCATATTTAATATTTATTCTTGATTCAAGAATGTAAAGAAATCCCAAGAGAATGTGTGAGAGAGAGAGAGAGAGAGAGAGAGAGAGAGAGAGAAATGTCTTCAAAATTTTTTACAAAATAAGAGAAATTGTAAATTATGACGATACTTTTTTAATTCAAATAAATACAATTGCCTTAAGAGCCAGACACAAGATATTGATATGTTTAATATTAATTTATCTGATTATTTGACAATAATTAGACAAACGTTTCGATCCATGCTTAGAATCCTTTTCGATGTAGTGCAGTCCAATTGATAATATTATATATGATCCGTTAATTCAGAATGCGAAGTTAATATATGGACATTAATGTATGGTATCAGAGTGCGCAATATTCCAACAAGAATACATTAAGCTTCCAGGTTTAACGATGATCGTTGTTGAGCACATTATTAGAGATAATAACCGTTTGCATGTTGCAAGTTGCCTGATACTTTTTTAATTATCAAAAACTTCCGTAAAATTCAAGGCAGCTTTGGTGATGGCGTGTTGATGACAGTTGCATAGAACTACTTACGTTCTCGAGAGCTTAAAACGCCAGGCAGATTCGGTCTGCAATCTGATACCTCGCACCTAGCGATATCCTACATTTTCAGGGATGCGTATCGGGTTCCCAAGGTGTGCGCACGCGAATCCCGTTTCGCATCGCGCGTTTCTCGGATTAGCATCGCATTATCGGGGAAACGCTCTCGCGAGAGGCGTCGCGAATGGAGAGCGCGCGAACGGATCCATTTCACGTAAGCCGAATTCATGAGGGCCAGGTTTTACTGCTATGGCCCCGGGTGATGGCGGTGCATTCTCTTTACTTGCCGAAAGAACGTGTCCCGATCTCGCCACGGCCGGGGTCTTTACCCGCCGTCTTTTCCCCGGTTTCGGCCACGATCTTCGGGGGCCTATATCCGCACCTCTTCAGGCACAAGTGTGCCGAGGGCGACCCGAGATAGGCACCACGCGGGATAGTCGTCGAGAGACTTCTCATCTCCTCTCGCCGTCACCCTTCGTATCGCGAGAGAAACGAGAAAAAGCAGGACGGAGAAACGAGAGAGAAAGTAGACGAGAGATCAGGTATCAAGTGTAAAAAAAGATCATTGTACGGAAGCATCTGACCGTAGGGTAGGAACTACGGTGATGGTGCGAAAGGATGGAGTGAGATGGAAAGAGAAATGTGTACTTTTTTTTTTGAGGGAAAAGGGTTAAGAGGAGACAGAGAGAGAGAGAGAGAGAGAGAGAGAGAGAGAGAGAGAGAGAGAAAGAGAGAAAGAGAGCAGGAACGTGAGGGAACGATCCTTCGTGATGGAAAAGACGAGGAGACGATAGGAAGAGGATGAAAGGGAGGAAGGGGGAATGCACCAAAAGCGTTGGCAGTTTATAAGGGTCCCCGGTATTGTGGATACGTATTATCATGCTAAATATAACATGTTAACTACTTCGCATAATACCGCGATCCTCTCGATTCTTCTCCCGTATACGGTCGATCGGCGAATCGCGCTTCTTCGCGCGCGCGCGCGCGTCGCGCATCGAAAATTTTATTGCCGAATTCGGCAGATGCAGCGTGCGACGCGCAGCGGAAATGTAACGCCGGTTTTTCTCGCTGATTCGATCCGTCGACAGGGCATGGAGAAAGGAGAAAGGAAGTACGACCCGTCTCTTGTGTTTCTTTAAAGATGCCAATTCAATTATCATTTCAATGAATACCTAGGATTTAAATAACATTAGTTATTTCTAATTATAAAGCTAAAAACTACTACAATACTCATATTATATTAAATAAAGCGATATCTATTAATAGAATTGATATATTATTAATTTTTTTACATTCGTATTGACCGTCTAAGGATCTTATCTTTTCAAGTTAAGTCTCACTCTGTCAATTCGGTGCATACATCCATTAATTCTTTAATAAGGTTAAAAAATAATGAAAACCTATATCTCTCTACTTATTGTGATTAGTTTTATATTTAATATTTGAGAGACTACTTTGTAGAAGAGTCTGCAGATGACTTTTTGTCATCATTGAAATTTTGAACAAGTTTCCATTCCGTTAAATATATGTATAAAAAAAAAAATGTGATCCTTCTTCACTCATCGTGGTATTTGTGAACGCGAAAAATTCAATCTTTTTCATCGAGCGACCGATGTCAGTGGAAACAGGCTCAGATGGCGGACCCCATAAAAAAAGCAAACGGAAGCAACGCGAATGGACCTGTATTGTATCGATCTCGATATACATAGCGCGAATTCGTTACGCGTTCTTAGGGCGCGACGCGGATCGACGCCGATGTCGGTGAACGGGGTAAAAGGAGCTATAACTTAAGATCAATTTTTCACGGACTGTTGAAGGGGTGTGATGGGCCAAAAGTTGCTGGTGCAAGAGGCGCCTGGCTCCGGTTCCGCCTCGACGAATCGCATGGAAGGCGGTGAAGGTGCCGGAGGAGGGGAGCTACACCACTTCCTCCAGTACAACCAGCAATCTCACAGTCCTAGCCAGAGCCTGCAGGGTGGCCTTCCGCTTCCGCTGAGCCCACAACCCTTGCGACACGACGGTGCCTCGAGCGCCGGCATCGTCGGGGTCAAGAGGGAACCAGAAGATCTCAGCTCGTCACGCGGAGGCCAACAACCCAGCAAACGACACAAACAGGCGCAACCCGACAGTCCCACACCACCGGGAATGTACCATCATCATCCGCATCAGTTGCAGGTACGAATTTCAGACGATCGTTGCCAAGCGCGATCGCGAGTTCTCCCCCGCGAGAGTTCGCGATTATTCACGTTTATTCGATTTACTCCGACCTTTCCCAAAGTTCGACGCTTTTCATACAATATGTGTTACGTTTGAATATTAATTTAATGATTCATTTCTACAAGAATTCTCAATTCTTCGCGTTACAAAGTTATTCCCATAATCACGCGTGCGGTGAGAATAGAATTTCTAATCAATTCTCAAATAACTTCAAACGTTATGTAGTTTATTTGGCGTAAAATTGCTAAAGATTGCCAAAGATTTGCAACTTGTATACGATCCTCGCCGAGAGACGTTGTGTCACGTATAGCTTAACATGCAACATTTGCACGTCGCAAGATAATATTTGAGAAAATAACATCGCTCAAATTCTTCAGCGTCGCTTCCCGCGCATTTCGAAAATTGCACAATTGCAGCGTATCTCGCGCGTTTTCCACATCATCACGCGGTCTTTTCCTTCCCCCCCCCCTCCCCCCCATAAAAAGATGTGTAAACGCGACACGCGGTGGAAACGCGGGGAAGCCGCGATCTTCTCGAGCCCTGGTGCGCCAATCGTGCGGCAAATCGTGCGAACGTGATGGAAAGTCAAGCACAATTGACGGGTGTACAGGTGCAGCAGTACGGCAGCCCTTACGACCCCTACACGTCGTGCAGTCCCAGGTTGCAGTCAACCGCCTACACGTCTACGTCGGCGACCGGAACGGGAAACGCAACGGCGAATCCGGGTGGCGGCCTCCATCAGGAGGCGACAACAGTCTACGTCGCCGGTGACGCATTGCCGCCACTCGCCTCGTCGAGCTCCACATCCTCGCTGTCCACCACGACTGCTTCGTACACGAGGTACGAGGTCGTGCCGAGCTCATACGCTACGACACACGCGATACGCTCGTCGTCGAGTAGCAGCAAGGTCCTGACCGTCGATCTTCCCAGCCCTGACTCTGGCATAGGCGCCGACGCGGTGACGCCCAGACAGGATCATCATCCAACCACGGCCCTTCATCAGGTGAATCTATGAGCGTGATTAATTTCATTCCTTTTGTCACTCAGTACAGTTCCTAATCACCCATGTGACGTGCATCCAGCTTTAACTTCCAGAGAGCTTTAACTTCTATTTGTCAAATCTTTCAGCTTTTCCACGAGTAAGATTTTTTTTTTAATTTGCTACTTCATTGTATCGCTTCAAAGTATTGATATTATTTCAACACTACTATAATGGCTGTTCTGTCTTATAGAGATTGAAAGCGAGATTCTCTTATACGTTACGCGTGTGTTTTCGAGCGCTAGGTAGGCGTGGATGCGTTTACGAGCTATGTCGTTAACGATCAAATCGAATAAAGAATCTCTCGTTTTTCTGACACGATAAAGTCACTAAAGTCGGATGATAGTATAAGTCTAGGGTGAAAATTGCCATGGTCGAACAAGTGTGAGTTGGACAAGAAATTCCACGGAAGAAATTTGCTGACATCTCATAATGCGTAAGCTAACGTAAAGTTCGGAACACTGGGAATGTAGAGAGTAGCTGAAAAGCTTTCAAAATGGAATAAAACGATCCTCGCGCGTAACATATTGCTCTGCCATATAATATATTAACACTGCCCAGGCGTAAGATGATGACACGGTGTTAGCCGACCGGGACGATCGTAAATGGTTCACGTCTATATAAATTGCAATCAGCAGGCGACGTAACCAAGAGCAAGCCATGATCGGGAGCGGGGTCCCGCGGCTGTCTCGTCAGCGGGGATCGAAGTTAACGGGTTGCAGGGGGAGGGGATACGTGAAGAAATACTTTACTACTCGGAGGTGCTCGCTACTGAACTACGCGGATGACGTGCCGGCAGCGTCATTAATTGTCCGGGAAAAATGCTCCAGAGAAACGTTTGGTCGAGATAGAATCGCTGTGCTCCAAGACGCGGAATAACCGTAACTCAATCGAGAGCTGCCGTACCAACGGAGGCAACGATGGGAGAAACGATGGCATCATCTGCTGCAGCCGCTCCCGCGCTATCGTTTTCAATTCGATCAACCACGGTACAAATGTCTTCGCCCACGGCGCCATAAGCGATCGCGATGCAATTAATCTCACGGGGCGATACCGTAAATATCGTTCGTTAACGCCCGGCCGGCTCGTCCCGGCTTCAAAAGACACCTTCGGTACATTAATATATGCGGGTATTAACCGTTATCCTATTGCGAGCTTATTCGCACGCGGATATCGCGGATATGCGTGTCGGTATTGCTCCGTTATGGTGTCGTTTTCAATGCGATTTGTCAAGTAAGTGCTCTCGCCCACGACGATCACCCGCGAGAGAGAGAGAGAGAGAGAGAGAGAGAGAGAGAGAGAGAGAGCCGGACTCTCTCACGCGATTAATTCCTCGTGTCTCCTGCAATGCAAGCCGGGCTACGGTATTACGCGTAAAACGCTCTAAATACTGACAGATCGAATGCGTATGCACGATCTCGCCGTTCTCGAAGCGATTTGTCAGGCAAGTTTTTCCATCTTAACGTCGCATACAGTTATTTACGCCGACGCAATAAATTCGGTGACGCTAATTCTATACGCTAATATTATATCGCGTATACAGTAAAGGAGCAATTATGGTATCTCAGATTACGGTAAATCGCTAAACTCAGCCGTATCGAAAAAGCGAACCTGTTCCTCCGGTTCTTAAAACTTAATATCTGCAAAGATTTTTCGTAATAGACATGTTTCGCTAAAGCGACCCTCTTATCAGCCTTTCATTTAAAGATCAATAAATAACGTCGTAACAGTCGCAAAGTCCATTACGGTAAGATGTGTACTTAATATTAGAACTTTATTATATAATCGGACACACACACACACACAAATTTTTCTCTAGGAAATAACATTAATTTCAATAAACTGTAATCGTATCGCGTTTTCACGAAAAAAAAAAAAAGAGGCTTTGGAAGTCTCTCTGAACTTATCAGTTCTATGTCAGGCGTATTTAACTCTTTCCATACGAATCTCGTTCAATTAAACGGTAATATAGTCGCTTGTATCATTTCGTTTACCTCGGCAATTCTTGACACAGGCAATTCGTCATTCTCGTGTACTGTTGCATATCTCGTCCACTTCCGGAGGCATTAATCGTGTCGCGCGCGTTACACGCGAGAGTAAGTCATTAGCATTGCAGTCGACATTACGAATTAGAAAGCACGCGTTCGTTCTGCTCCGCTTGTGCGCGCACGTTGCAGACGTTGAAATAAAACCCGAAACCCCGGGTCGGGCGGATTAGGTATCGGATGTAAGTGCTACTGAAAACCGATCCGCTCGCCTGATCGGCACGCTTGCGTTATGCACGCAATTAAAACGTTGATATTCAAAGTGGGGTAAAGCATTAAATTTTCCCGTCCGCGCGCGCTCGTTTTATCTCGCGACTAAATACGCCTCCGACCGATAATTTTCTTAATATTTGAGAAGCGGTGCCGCTCTGAATCGCACCGAGATAACACGGCTAATTATGGTCACACGACGCGAATGATACGTCTATCTGATGAATTCAACGTCTTGCCAGCGAAAAAGGATCTCGTTTAATTAATCGTAAATTTCCGATATACGCAGAGTGACGTCTTGTTTTAGTATGGTTTTAATATCATGCAAATTGCATGTATTATACTCGTATTTTAACCGGACCCACGGATTTTTAGCTGGTTGATACTTGACTTATAAGATTAAGCCTGTTTAGATAGTAAATATTTATGCGCGCTTTCTCATCCGGGACGGTCTTCGCATTTGCGTCAGTCATACACTGCGACTTAGACTTTGCATGAAACGTTGATTCAATTACTACCGCGTTAACGTCTCGATTAAAACAGTTATGTACATATCGACGATGAAATACTATGGCCGGTATTCATAGTTGTTATATTCAAGACCATCTTAAGTTCTGTCTTGAGGTGTCACGACGACCAATCAGACGGCTGTATTAGCGTCTTAAGATATTACTTAAGACGATCTTCAAATGAGAACCGACTACTGAATACTGGTCTATAAGTAGATAAATTATCGATAAATTGCGCATATCGTGCATGAAATTTGCTTCACACAATATATGATAAAATGGTAAAAATGGCGATCTATTAAATTCTTGTATGTGGATGTGTATTATAATAAATTAATTAATTTAACATAGGAAAAATGATTTTACTGAAAAATCTAAAAATTTGCCAAATATAGAAAATAATTTTGTTGGACCATTAAAATAATTGTATTGAAAAATGAAGAGCAATACTGCAAAAAGTTTCGATATTCTAGCAGTCAATTTGAGTTTCTAACAAAATTGTTTTAGTAGTCTAATAAATTTATTTTCTGATGTTTCCAGAAAAATTTTAGATCTGCCAGTAAAAACTCGTTCTTTCCGTGAAAAATTCAAATTTTTGTCGCATAATAAAAAAATCTGAGGATTTCAACATGTTGTATTTTAAGTGTTAATCACGAAAACGTTGAACGTTAATTGAAATTTTCAATTTGAAAAATATATGACGTGCGATAAAATTTTTGTTAACGAAACGTCTCGCGTCTCAAAACTATGCTGGAAGAAAATATGCAACCTTCATGCTTATTGCATCTCATGCATTTAATGCATAAAGCATTTGAAAAATTCTAAAACGACGAATAGCTTTGTGTCGATGTGCGGTAGATTCAGTGGTTAGAGAATTTAGCAAGAAAGAAGCTGCCGTGATTTTTTTTTTTCTGGGATGACAGAAGAGTTGAGGTAACGAGCTGCGGTAACCGCGTTGCATTGAAAAATAACTGCAGGCGACGCGCAATCGCATGAAGACGTATGAGGGAATAGGTCGTTTGGCAAGCCGCTTATTAACAGCTACGGTTGGAAGCGGGTGTGCGGATTGTGCGGTTGATTTTACGAGACCACAAAGCTCCTCTATTCTTTCTTCGTTTGCGCTGCCTTCGGCAACGATATACGCGCAGCGCACAACCGAGTGCACGAGCGAAAATGCATGAAATAGCGCATATTAATGAATAAATGGAAAACACCACTGTTTTTTCGCTGCAATCTATTTGCGTTTATATATCGAAATTTGTTTACGGCATTATGTATAACCAACGAGAAAAAGAGAGACCCCAAGACGGACGCATCGGGACAGTCACGTGAAATCGCGTGTTTGTGAGCGGTTAATCATTTATCGGTCCAGTGATCCCTTTAATCGGCGCAGTTTGAAATTTATCGAGGGATACTTGTGAGAGATACGGAAAAATCTAATGAAATGCATTGATATGCAAAATAAGACGCGAACGTGTGTGTAGATATTGAATCGCGATAATGCTGATATACGAATGGCGTCGATAAATAATTACGTTCTTATTAGATTTTTAAATACTAATTACATCGTAATCAAGGAGCATTTAAATTGAATGAGATTTAGTATACTCGTGCATGCGAACGCGTTTTATCTATGTCTACCAGAACACGATCGAAAAAAATTGCAACTACCATTATTTTTACACGCTGTATCTCTCCTACATATATCAATGTTACTATACTATATCATTACATTCCATCTGTTTTTTTCTTTTACAAGAAATTAAAAATAAATTATTAGTTTTCGGGTCACGAGAAAGACGATAAAAGCATTCGTTATCATTTATTACTTAAATCATGACTTCAATGTAATTATATTTTTCAATATTTTTATATACATATATATATATATATATATAATTTACGGCAGATTTTCGAATTAAACAAGATTAAAAAGGAATTAAAAAATTCAGAGTGCTTAAATGGAAGTTGATAATTTAAATTAATTAAATTTCTATCTTTTACGTGTTGTCTAATATAATGGTTCTTATTTTTTTTTATAAATTTTTAATAAATTACATTTTTTTTCTAGTCCTCATTCGACTATACAGAATTATGCCCTGGCGGAACAACAGCCGGGACAGCGGTAGTTCTCGAAAGTGGTGCGGTGATACACCAACCCCTGCAATTACAGCTGCAACAGAGCCACGCACAAGCACAGGTGCAACGTAGCAGCTTAGTGTCCGCTGGTGCGACAAATCCGAATCCAAATCCAAATCCGCAGAGATCGCGGCCTTGGCACGATTTCGGCAGACAGAACGACGCCGATAAGATCCAGATACCGAAAATGTAAGTAGGCTCTGAAAGCTACAATTTATGAAAAAGTCGGTAATCGCAGTAATCGCAAAATATATATATGTATCTCTTGCAGTGCTCTTTTCTAGCAATCTATTAAAAAATATTTAATACGATATTTAGCATGAGCATTGATCCTTTTGGATTTTATCTTATTTGGAAAAGCTTAAGAAGCATCTTATTTTAATAACTTCGTTTTGATTGAAACTAGCTGTGCTTATTAGATTAAGAGCAAAGAAAACTTAATAGAATTACTTCTTGACATGATTTGTCCGATTAGGGATTGCACGGTAGTATAGGAAATTATAATAAATATACGTTATAATAATGACGTGCAAAGGCGAATGCTCAATTTGCTCGATCGAATGGATAGATAAATAAGTAGACGGATATTGAGATTGATATATAGATATTTATCTATCAATTTATCTTATTACATGGAGGGTACGGAAGAGCAACGATAAAAGTTAATAACTTGCGCCGCTCAGGACAAGCAATTGCGAATCCACACGGAAAGATTTTATTGAAGTGCTCGTATCTAAAAGTTTAGGTAGATATAGATACTGCAAATAATTTTATTTGACTATCAAAAATAATTATAACTCAGCGATGGGCAGTGTTATAAAACCCTTCTAGTAACCAGTTAAGCGTCTTACATAATTTTTAGATCTATATCTAGCTAAACTTTCAAACATTTCAGCAAAACCGTTCTCTCCGTGCACGCAACAAAGAGAGTACCCTCGTGATTGCAGACGAACGAACATTTCATTCTTGACACGAATGTTTGCAAGAAAATATTAATATACAAATGAAATATTATTATATGGCGTTTAAATTAATAATTTAATTAATATAACTTCTTCTCACGTATTATGCGCATAATCGGTTCAACTAATGACAAAGATGGAGATGGATTTTCGCTTATTCGCTTAATTTACCATGCTTTATTTTCTTTATGACTGAAGAGAAACTAATGGCGCCTCTCTAAAAACAGAGTCATAAATGTCATTTCTGTTTCACGGGCAACTAATATCTTCGCTAACCGCCTGCTAGAAGAACTTCCTATGCCTCCTTACTCTTTGCGCACCCTTCATTTCCTTTGCGGTTCACATCCGCTTGCCAACTCATTCGATCTTCCTCTCCCATATCCATCCTTCCTAGCGATCTTTCCACTTCCCGTTTCGCTCCATCCGTCTTTTGTAATTTGTTGCCTACCATTGTTAGAGCCGACCGCGTACGATCGGCGCTGCTGAATATTTCTTGCTCCATCTCTCTGAATATACTCACCGACGCGAGATGAACAATGATGTTAAAGTTATTAAGTCGCAGCCAGCTCCGAAGTCGACTCTGAAAGAGTCGGACAAGCGCCTCGGGGTCGCGCCCGGTCCGGGTCTGAAAAATCGCAGAGTTCGCCGACCATTCGCAGCGTGAAATCGAAATGTCAAGAGGGGTAGCCTCTCTCTTTTCGACCGGGTTCTTTTTCGCGAGACAGAAGCGAGAAAGTCGGACGGACAGATGAGAGAGAAAGAGAGAGAGAGAAAGAGAGAGACTCTGTAGTCATGCGTAACCCACACAGGGAGTCGTAACAAGGCATACACATCGGGTAGGAGGCTGTGCAACGGTAGCGAGCAGCAAAAGCGCAGAGGAGGGCGTTCACCCGCCACGGTCAGTTATCGCCTCGCTCGCTACGCACACTGCCCCCTGGCTTCGTCCCCCGAGTTCCACAATGAAAAAAGAAAGGGAGAAGAACGGAAAGACAAAAGGGGGGAAAAAAAGAGGACAGAAGGACCGCGCGCCACGAATACGTGTGCGCCTCAAAGACAATAAGGCACTCTCTCGCGAGGGTATACGATAATAATATATTCAGAAAGTTCGTCGAGTAAAAAAAAAAAAAAAAAAAAGCAGCGATGGTAAAACCGATGGAGACCGGTATCGATAAATCGAGTTCGAGACGAGAAGTGGCAGCTTAACGATTGCAGATTTTCCTGGATCGCGGCGGTCGGATCGTTTTGCTCTCGTTTTTCCATCTAGCGTCCACCTTCCTTCAATCATGCGTGTCGTTTTGTCGTCTCGCGTTTTATACCGCGGTCTCTACCCTCAATCTCTCGGGTTATGGGCGTTCATTTTTCATAAGTTATCGGTCGCCCGCCTACCTGCGTGCTTCAGTCGCGGCCGGCGCGGAGATAAGCTCGATTAGAAGTTCGCGATTTTTCCCCTCCCTCTCCGGCAAGGTTGATGCGTGTCTGTCGATGTCGTTCTTTTTCCAATTCGCGCGAACTCTGCGTTGCCAGCTTCCCAGGCTCCCGAGGCCCTTCATTATCGTTCTGCCGCTATTAACGATTGGAATATTCATACCCGATTGCGATCGCTTTTTTTTTTTGTGCGCGCGCGCGCGATGACGAACGTTCTAATTAGCAAAGATTTTGCGCGGTCTTGTTTGCCTCGCACACGCATCGGTTGTTTTCCACGCGAAACGGCTTTAGGTATGTTTGTCTTGATGGCGAAGTAGGAATACGTTGGCGAAGAATTAGCCGATAATGACACGATAATCACTCATATTGCATCGCGCATTAATCAGCTAATTGAGCATTCGTTTGCAAGCTCGTAATCGTCCATTAAGTAAACGCGATTCAATCTTGACCGAGTGTGAAACGGCCAGCTGCATAATGACACACACACACACACACACAACTTTGAGATTGCTTCTTAAATGTGTGCTTTTTTTTTACGCGCGCACATATGTCGGTGTGTATCTACGCTTCATTTGGGAAATCTTATTTGTCTGCTCTTTAGTTTCTCGAATTACGGATTCAAGTACCATTTGGAGTCACCGATCAGTACGTCTCAGCGCCGCGAGGACGATAGAATAACGTATATCAATAAGGGCCAATTCTACGGAATCACGTTGGAATATGTGTCCGATCCGGACAAGCCGCTGCTCAAGGCAGGGCAGACAGTCAAGGTAAGAGCAAAAACGATAATTGCACTGTTTGAATAACGATATTCGTATGATGATATATGTAGGTACATAGTTTCGAAGATAGAGATGAATACATTGTTAAATTCACAAATTATATTCAATTTGAATTATTTTTAACCATTTTTACACTGAGATAACAATGTATTAGGTTTTAATAAATATATATATATATTATATTTGAATATTATCGATTAAATATTTACTTACATTAAATAAACTTAATTTACTTAATAAAAAAGTGATTGCTAAATTAAATTAATAGTCCTTGTACCAAATAAATGTATCTTTATATTCGATAAATATTTAGTCGGTACTACTTAAACAAATGGTTTATTAAAATTTAGCACATTTTTTTCAGTGTATAAGTCATCACTGCCACTATTCAGTATATCGTTAATTTCATTAAAATAGTGGAGTTAAACAATTTACTTAAGAAAATAACAGTCTAACTCGAGAAAATGTATTAAATTTGATTCAAATTTCGTTTATTTACTAAGCTCATATATTAATATGAATGTTATTTAATTTGAAACTATCCACAGAAATAAATTGATTTGCATTATGACACACATGAAGGTTAAAATGTTACTGAATATTAAAATGTTACTTTTTAACTCAAGGGATTGAGTTATCATTACTCCTTTTACATTTAACAGTGCAGCTACGGTACACTTATCAATGTCAAACTGTAACAATAAGCATTTGCACGGTATCGTTCCGTTCGCGTCCGGACTGGAGCGGTAAAATTCGCGGAGACGATCGGCGCGGCGTGTCGAAAGAAGAAGTCAGACGGGATCGTTTGTTCTCGCGACTCTAATTGGCAGCCACGGTGCGCACGCACCGTTAGCAATTTCCATTCTGATAAAGGTGGCGGATTCTTTTTCCGTCGTGTGCGCCGGCGACGAGTTACGGCTTCCTCGTTAATTGCTAATCGAGCGTCGAGAGCGAGGCGTGTGGCGATTCGAACGGTATATCCGTGTCTCTCGCGGCGCGCGAGCCTCAAGGGAGATCGGTTAAGTAAGTGTAACCGCGTAACGCGAACCTCTTATTCACAGGCCTCTCTTTCCTTTCCGATCGTGCGCGCCCATATTTCCTCCGGTACGTCGGAGAGCGCAGTTCTTCGCTCATTCACCCGAATCACGAAAAATCTTTCCTTCAGCTCCGTCTCGGCGCTCTCTCGCCGCGCCGCCGCGCCGCTCGCGGCGAAAACGCTCACGCCCGCGTGTGCCCGCTCGAGCGTGCGTCTGTCGCGGTCGATGTACGTCCCCGCGTATATCACGTCGATCCGGGTGAAACCCGAAAGCTAACTTTGTAGACACACGCAAAATATTTATTTATACTTCACACATACCAGGCTGATTATGAAGCACGAGAAATCTCGATAATTATAAAATATAGGGATCTTGAGACACATCGTGAAAAATATTTTACATGCGCGCATGTAAAATTTCTCTCACGATGTGTTTCCCTTGTCTTATCTTGCCGCTAGGAATAGTGTACGGATAAACGTAACTCTCGATTTATGCTCGATCTGTCATGTGATTAATAATTATTTACATGTGCTCCGTAGAGCGTAGTAATGTTGATGTTCCGAGAGGAGAAGAGTCCAGAGGACGAAATCAAATCCTGGCAGTTTTGGCATGGGAGGCAACACTCTGTCAAACAACGGATTCTTGACGCTGGTATGTATATATATACATATATATACTTGGAAAATACTTTAAATAAAATAATATAAATATAAATATCTGTAAATAAATAAATAAGTAGAAGTGATATAAAATTTTGAATAATAATGATAGGTTTTTTTCATAAATTAAGAAACGCGTACGTATTTTTTAGACAAATTCTTGATCGATTAAATCTCTAATTATAAATCTCTTGTACTTTGCGCAAGCTACATAATCTATAATGGACAACCGGTAAGATTTTATCACGGTATACCCCGTTATTTTAATATTCTATCTAAAAGTCCCAAGAATAGCACGAGCTATTTCATATTCCCCTGCATGATCCGCGAGTTTCAGAGTCACGTCCGTTGTTACAGACACAAAGAATAGCGTTGGCTTGGTGGGCTGCATAGAGGAAGTCGCGCACAATGCGATTGCCGTTTACTGGAACCCACTCGAATCGTCGGCAAAGGTAAGGAACGCCGGAAATGTCGATTCACGTTACCTTCTTAACGACATATACATGCCTCTCCGCCCCTCCTTCCCGTATACATATAAACGATATATATATATATATATATATATATATATATATATCGTTTATCGCCGTGCAATCTTGCGCTACGCGCAAATATCGTGTCGCTCGCGCATTCGATTGCACGGCCATATAGCGGAAACGTTAATAAAGCAATTCCCGCGTCGCCGCTGCTACCTGTCCGATTTCTGATCCACAGATAAACGTGGCGGTGCAATGTCTCAGTACCGATTTCTCGAGTCAGAAAGGCGTGAAGGGTTTGCCGCTGCATATCCAGGTCGACACGTACGAGGAACCACCGCCCCACACGCACACGTATACACCGCCTTCCCATCGCGGCTACTGTCAAATTAAGGTCTTCTGCGATAAGGTAACTGCTCTTCTGCATTTCCATACGTTTATCTCCCTCCCCCCCCCTCCTCTTTCCCTCTTCATTTGCGATGTAAATAACGCACGATCGCTTCCTGGTCGCAATGCGATCGCTGAAATTAAGTTGAAAGATGATGTTGCTTATCGTAGGGAGCTGAGAGAAAGACCCGGGACGAAGAGAGACGCGCGGCTAAGAGGAAGATGACAGCGACTGGCAGAAAAAAGCTCGACGAGCTTTATCACCCCGTTACGGAGCGCAGCGAGTTTTACTCCATGGTCGATCTGCACAAACCGCCTGTACTGTTCTCCCCACCGGCCGAGCACGCTATCGATAAGGTAATCACATCGTTTTCTTATATGTTACTCAAACATGTAATAGTCTACCATCAATAAGAACTTAATGTGTTCTCACAGAAACATTGATTGCGAACACGTGCATAATTGCAATGTTAATCCTCCATCGGCAATGTGAAATTTTCACTCTTCGCATTCGCAACCTGGGTTCTTCGAACTTCAGTACAAATTTTTATATCGTGTCGGGTTGTACAAAAATACGACAAGTTCTTATGTATTTATGAAAGCTTTAGCAACAAATTTTTATCACAATAGAAGTCGAATTGTATTTTATTTGTATTTTACAGATTTAAATGTGTCTACTAGAATCACAAAAAATCGAATATACTTTAAGATCCAACATTGCCGACGGGGAGTTAATAATTCTCTATAAAAGAGATTCTCTCTCTTTACAAAAATATAATAAATTATAAATAAGAATAAACTTTTTTAATACGCTACATTAATATGCATAAAACTTAATATAAGACGTCTACGTTATTAATTTGTTTTTTATCAAATACGAGTGTGCTATGTCACATAGCATGTATCTAAATTAATTAATTGGCGCAAAAATGAACTTAGAAAAATCGTGTGGCATCCACAATCCTCTGCTCTCACCCCCGCCGAAACCCTGCACTAACCGCAACTCTTGCATCGCAAGGCAGTGACGTGGACTTTCTCGAGACAGCCTTTCGAATGTTCAATTCAGTTTAACGAACCAGAGCAGTAGCCTGTCAATATATACCTTTATGTTTTCAGTTTTATTACAATGAATATATGTGAGTTGTCGTAATTAGTTACTACATTATGACTAGCAGCATTATTGCGTAGCATTATTATTTTTATTATCAAAACAAATGAGTTGTCATATTTTGACCTTTTGCCGCCATTGTCTTTCAATTTGTTCGCAAGTCGTCAATCTCTCTTTAATACTATACATTAAGGAAAAAAATTAATATCGCTTCAAAGTTCCTCGTTTTCCAATGTGAAATTTAAACGGGTCGTCTCGTGTGAGGAAAAGAAAAAAACGCAGAGAAAAAAAATAAACTTTATTCTTCTCTCTTCCACGACAGTTCTCGACGATGGAGTTGTCGGGCTTCTACGGTGGTGGCGGCGGCGGGGGAGGGGGTGACACCGACACCTCGTCCCTCAGTAATGGTGAAGGTGGAGGATTGAAGGCGGGGGGTAGCAGCCCCTATCCACCGCCATGCGCCCGGCCGAGTCTGCCGGCCCTCAAGTTCCACAACCATTTTCCGCCCGACAATCTCAGTAACCTGCACGACAAGAAGGACTCGTTGCTGATGCAGGTGCAGGAGCTGCAGGGCTCGATGCTGCAGGGGGTGCAGACCGGGCTGGCGGGCACAGTGGTGTCCAGTGTCGGTAATCGGCTGCACCTACAACAGCAGCCACCGCATCTACGCCCAGCGGAAGCCGAGGAACGCGTCATGCTCTACGTGCGTCAGGAATCGGACGATGTCTACACACCACTGCACGTCACACCACCGACAGTCCAGGGGCTACTCAACGCTGTAAGAAATATCCTAAGGCTCTTTTTTTCTTTTATATCGCCTACACACATCGTGACATCTCACAACAAACATTACCACGCAAACATTCGCGTAGAGAGGGATCTCAGAGACCTTTGGTATCTAGAGAAAAGGTTGCTTCGATTTAAAGAAATTTCGGTTAAATGAAAAAATTTCTTTGATTTAAACGTTTTTTTTTTTTTAATCAAATTTTTTATAAAAAGAAAATCTATTTGATTTAAAAAAATTATCCGTCCAAATCAAATAAATTTTATTTGATTTTAAAAAATAATGTCTAAATCAAAAAAATTTTTCACAAATCAAAGAATTTTTTTCATTCAGTCGAAATTTTGTTTAATCGAAGCAACCTTTTCCCTGGGTAGTGCAGACCTGTGACGATTCGCATGATCCGCGTTGTGTCTGCATTCTGTCGTTCTTAGAGATACTTTCGAAAGAAATATAGCGGAAGTTATAAAGCTGATACATTAAGACACCCGTTCTGCGTCGTGAACTATTAACGTCCGCAGTATAGAGAAAATTATTGGCCTTTACTATGAACGTATCAAGCACGATACAAGCATAACGTCAATCTTAGATAGAGCAGGGGATAAATGTCAGTAATATATAAAGTGAATACGCATAATTGAGGGGAAATATGCTTTCGCAAATTTTGTATTAACTGAATATTGATTGTCATTCGGTAATAAAGTAGGCAAAATAACAAGCCCGCTTATAGAAATGGAAATGGGAAATGGAAATTCTCACCATTTCCATACGGTGACCGATAAGCGTACGGTAGCAGTGATGTGTTTTATGCAAAACACATTGCGCACCGTTGAATATACGCGACCGTGGGTGTTAATTCGTGATTACGCTGTCGTTCGTCGGCGAGGCCTGCTTTGGAAACAGAACGAGAAGCGAGACAATATTAATGCAATGTGCTATCGCTACCATCGATCGAGATACGCTTCCCCGATAAACACTTCCAGGCTTAATAAAGTCGCACGGCCGGAAAATAACTAATGTCTGTTTCAATTTCAATCGATACCAGTTTAGTTTCGCTAATCCAATTCGCGATTTGATGAACGCGGAAATTGTACACGCATACATATATACAGTGCAAAAGTGACATTTTGTATTCTAATTTGTATTCTAATAAAAAAAGCCTGATAAAATTTTAATCATTATCGCGTATCAGTACAAGATATGGATAATGAAATCCTATCAACAATCTGATATAACGATTAAAATTTTCTCGGGCTTTTTTTAAATAACTTATTATACAAAATGTTATACATGTTACTGGCCGGGAACTTTTGCACGTCACTGTATATATACATATATTTATGTTATATACATATATTTTACGTGCACATATACAAGCCCTACGAGAGAGTATGTATGTATTACTCATGCATGTGAAAGCATACTGCGCCATTATTAATACTCGTTCGCACTGGTCCATTCGCTAATTAATATTAATGCGCATGCATCACTGTCCACTGTGATCCAAGATCCTCATTAATACATTATCGATAATGCAAGACATACGATCATATTTATCCCTCCTCCTCCGTGGATATGCGAGACTGTCGGTGGCTTTTAACAATCTACCAGATATAGACGTAAAAGACGCGTTATACCGATCAGAAAATAACGGAAGAAAAAAGTGGAAGGAAAAAAACATCCTTTCTTTCTCTCTTGTTTCAAACGATTTCTCTTCTCTCGTCGCGTTTCTACACGCCCCGCGTAAGAATGATCTAATTGGTCCACGCGCGATCTCCTATCTCGGACCGCGCTCTGAACCGATCCTGAACTGCCTCCGCGTTCTTGTGACGCGCGATATATATATATATCTCTTCATCATTATGTCTTCCCGTTTCGA